AGGAAATGGGTTTTGATACATTTATTTAAGGATAACACAGTTGGACTATGGGATTTAGGCACTATATTTGCATGGATATACATTCCCTAAGGGTCATGACCATGTATATATGTTATACCTGTAGTGCTTGATGGGTGAGGCCAACTCAATAGTCTCTAAAAGTTCATTGCTATTGTTTAAGAAGGATATAAATTTAGTGATAAATTAATTTGGCCATTTCAGTTCCTTGTTTGGCTATCTTCTTATGAATATCTCATTGACATGATTTAATAGATAACTTTTCTAAAAAAAAATCCTCACCTAACACAATTCCATTTATTAAACCAACAAATATTTGTGACTCATCTATTCTGTGCCAGGCATATATTAAGAATGAACATATTTGAAACTTTATCGCAAAACTTTGTTCTAACGCAGAGAGAAGGCTAAATTAAAATGTAAAATATGAGAGTTTCTTGAAAAGTTAAATATGTTGTTGTTATGTGTCTTCAAGGTGGGACAGCCTCACAGCTGACCTTCCAGAAGGTTTGTTTGCAGAGGCTATCAATTCCACCAGAGGAGATTGCCTATCTCTCTTCCTCAGAACAGTTGATGGATTGGAATCGCATGCCTTTGGATTGGCAGCAAAACTTCTTTACTCACTGCTGTTGTTAAGTGCGATGGAGTCGGAATCAACTCATTGGTAATCCTGCAGCAGGTCTTCAGAGGCTGTAAATCACGCTGAAGGAGACTGCTCATCTTTCTCTTGCAAAGCAGCTGATGAATTTGCACTGTGTGCCTTTAGGTTGGCACAATACCTTGCCTACTAGGCCTCTAGAGCTCACTTTTACTCACTAAGCCACCGGAACTTACAAGCCAGCAATTCCACTTTTAGGTATGTACAGGCATTAAAAGGTGCCTCGCATACAGTGACCACTGTGTGTTCACTATCATAACACAACAATGAATAATCAATTAAATGATTTTAAACAGAGCAATAAGATCTACCCTCCCCAGAGAGATCCCTCTTCACACTGTTGTGGGGTGATGGGGACTCAGTTAAAGCAGTAAGCCTTAGAAAAGTCTGTTGCAAAAGATGATGACTGGAAAGGTTGGAAAAGCAGGGATGAAGAGAGTGAAAAAGGATTTGCAAAATAGAATAAATAAGACTTCATAACTAATTGGATAGGAAAATTCAGGAGCTAAGAGATGGTACATTTTAGATAACTTGCAAGTTCCTGTTTTAGATAATGGGGTGAATGAATTGGGAGAGCATTGACTGAGTTGTAGAAACAGAAAGAAGCTTGAAGGACATGTCTTTGGACAAATCAACAACAGTAAAACCTGCAGATGCCAAAATGTGTTTAAGGCAGAAAGCTGTCACACTGTCACACAAGGAAAAGTAAAAATTAAAATGTGGTGGGATCTTCAATAGAATCGTAAATACTCTGCAAATGTTTTGGATAGTAAATGCTCCATCAAAATAGAAAACTTAGAAGAACCAGCTCCAACTCTTTCAGGTATCACTGTATAGTGTGTCTGTGAGAATCAAAACACGTCTTCCTCTCAAAACAACACCTATTTACTTATTTTTGGCAGCAATATACACAATCATTAATCAACTCACAATTTATATAATAAAACATCATATTATAGTTTAAAGTCAACATGATCTGGAGGGGGGCCTTGGTATTTAAAAATCAGTTGGGCTCGAGGGCCTGTGGCCCTTGGACCTAGTGTTATGTTTGGGAGTAACATTCTTCTAAGTGGTACAGCACTGGTCTGTACTGAGGTAACTTGGGGTTGCTGTGATGCTGAACACTGTGCCACTGATGTGTTAAATGTCATAATGGTTACTCATGTTGGACAGTGTTTGGTGGAGCTCCCAGAATAAGACAGGCTTGGAAGAAGGAGTGGCATCCACTTCCTAAACAACATGACTCTGGAAAGTTTAGGAATTTAGAGAAACGATGATAGTTCTAGAACAGGGTTCAAGTCTTTTGTTCATGGTGTCATGATGAATCATGTTCAACTTGACAGCACTCAACAACAACAACAACAACAAACAACAACTATTGGCCACACATTTCACTGCAGGCAAAGCAGCAGTCTAATGGTATTGGTAAATGGAAAGAGTATTGGAGTCAATGCTAGATTATGTAGTTTGACCTTGAACCAAAAGTGTTCCATGCAGCCATGGCAAGACAGTTTGTTGTTGATGTTATGTGTTGTCGAGTTGCCTGTGACTCATAGTGACCCTATGTATAACAGTCCTAACCCATGCTCTATCCTTTACCAATCTTATTGTTTCCGACACACTATTCCCCTTACCCCAGTGACTGAATCAATCCATTTCATAGAGGATCTTCCTCTCCTGCGCTGTCCCTCTACCCTCACAAGCATGACATCTCTCTCTAACGACTGTTCCCTCCTTGCAACATGTCCAAAGTATGTCAGACGAAGCTTCAGAATCTTCGCCTCCAAGGAGCAGCCTGGTTTCACCCTCTCCAGGATGAACTTGTTTCTTCTCCTAGCAGTCCATGGTTCAATATTCTTCTCAAGCACCAAAGCTCAAAGGCATCAACTCTCCTTCTATCATCCCTAGTCATTGACCAGCTCTTCGATGCACTTTAGTCTCCAGACTGACTTCGTTGCTTTTCAGTACTTTGGAGAGGTCTCTGACAACAGACTTTCCCAATGCAATTTGTCTTTTAATTTCCTGGCTGCTGGTACCAAGAGTGTTGATTGTAGAGCCAAACAAATTAAAGCTGTCAACAATCTCAAACTCTTCACCATGCATCATGATGCTGCCAACCAGCCCAGCAGTGAGAATCTTTGTTTTCTTGATGTTGAGCTTCAATCCATATTGAAGGCTGCAGTCCTTGACCCTCTGCAGCAAGCGCTTCAGGTTGTCCTCAGTTTCAGCAAGCAGGGTTGTGTCATTTGCATAATGCAGATTGTTGATGAGTCTTCCTCCATTCCTGATGCCACACTTCTCCTCATAGAGCCCAGCCTCCAGGATAATCTGTTCCACATATAGATTGAAAAGATATGGAGAGGAGGAAAAAAAATCATTCGTAGCTTACTTTCTGTTAGCAGCACAATATGCTACAAACTGTTACACCAGAGTTTCAGATTTATTGTTTCTATTAGGTCCCACTGAATCAGTTACAACTTACCGTGACCATATGAAAAATAGATCTGAACCTTGCCCATTACTGTGCCATCCTCATCATATCCAGCCTCACCAATGTGCTCCTCCAGCCCATTATTACAGTCACTTCTCCATCTGTCTTGCTGGGGTGGTATTCTCTTTCTTTGACCCTCCACCTTTCTCAGCATGAAGTCTTTTTCCTAGGACTTGTCTCTCCTGACAACATGTCCTAAGTATGTGAGACGGTAAAACTTCCTAACCTCTCAGGAGCACCCTGGCTGCACTTTCTCCAAGACAGACTCTTGTTGTTGTTGTTGAGTACCCAGTAACTGTGTCAATCCATCTCATCCAGCATCTTCCCCTCCTATGTTGTCCCTCCACCTTCTAAGTATGATGTATTTATCCAAGGACTGGCCCCTCCTGGCAACATGTCCAAGTATGTGAGTTGAAACTGCAAAGCTCTTGTCTCCAAGGACAAGCTTGGTTTCGCCTTCTCCATAACAGACCTCTTTGTTCTCTTGGTAGTCCATGGTATTGTTCAGTATTCTTCTCTAGCACCACAATTCAAAGGCATCAATTCTTCTTCTATCCTTAGACATTGCCCAGCTTTCTAATGCATACCAAATAGTTGTGAAGACCATGGCTTGAATCAAGTGCTCCTTGATCTCTATACTGACATTATTGCTCTTCAGCACTCTGGAGAGGTCCCTAATAGCAGATTCCCCAGTGTAATTCATCTTTTGATTTCCTGACTGCTGGTTGCCAAGAGTGTTGATTGTGGAACGCAACAACCTGAAATTGTTAATAGTCTCAATCCCTTCTCTATCATGATGCTGCCATTTGACCTGGTGGTGAGAATCTTTGTTTTTATGATGTCGGGCTTCAATCCCTGTCGAAGACTGCAGTCCTTGACTTTCTGCAGCAAACACCCCAGGTCCTCCTCAATTTCAGTGAGCAAGGTCAAGCTTCAATTCTTCTCATCAAATCTGGATCTACTGCCATTTTCCCCTGGCCTTTCTGCATGACCAGTGGAATGTACAGGGTCCAACATGGGATAGATGGTATTTCAAACATGTTGAAAAGATTTATCCAAAGCTGGGTAGCCAGAGACTATCACAGGCACAGAGGTTAAAGTAGATATTCAATAAATATATGTTGTTGAATTGAATTTAAAAGGCAACAAGAAGAGTTAAGGTGTCTTCACCTATGAATCCCATCAAAATTACTTTCTCCTGTGGTCCTGCCTTTCCTAATAAGCAACTGAAATTATCCTAGAGGGGCATTCTGGGCACCATCAGAATGGCCCATGTGATGCCACTCTGATGTGAATGTTCAGATAATAATGCCTCCATGCATTTTCCAGTCTAGAACCCCCACTAAACGTCACACACACACACACACACACACACACACACACACACACACACACACACCAGCTTTGACAAACCAGGGTCTTAAACTCCTTGAAGCAAATGCTAACAGTCTTTGAAGCATATCCTGAGTGCTTTTGATCCTGACTCTGAAGGGTGGACATTGTCAACTGCTACTTCTTAGAGGCCATATGGCTTGATACATCCATCTCAGTGCGCCACTCACATAGACCTTGGAGAAGCCACTTCCAAACTGTCCAGCCAGCCGCCAGAGACTAGCCTTGTTACCATAGAGGTTAGCAAGTCGCCAAAAATCACTCTGGTGCTCCAGCCAATGGAAGCTGCGACCGGGACCCCTCCCACTCCCCCTGCAGTGGCATCCCAGCCTCCTGCCTCTCTCTTCCCTCCCTCCTTCTCTCCTGGCTGGGCAGCATCTGGGTCTGCAGAACAGCTTGTCTCTCCTGTGGCATTTGGAGTGAACTTCAGAGTCTACAAAGATGACTTGGCGACAGTTCTTCGTCCTCTCTTGTCTCTCCGCCACTGTGCTTCTGTCTTGTGAGTATGGGGCGGGGGGGTCATGGCAAAGGCCAGATGGACATTAGGTAAGTGTTTGATCAGGTGGCCCAGATAGTAACGGGGCATAATTATTCCTGAGGCAGCAGTGCTGTGCTTTGTGTAAAACACAATGCAGGAGAAATCAACTTACTGGTGGGGTTGGCTCTGTGGCTTGAATGTGGGGACACAGTTCCAGAGCCTGGACCTGGCTTGAGTAAGGGCTCCGCTTGAGACCCAGGGGGACCCTCACTTGGCGTTCTCATCCCATAGTGCTGCAGGACGGTGCTGCTGTGTCGGTGGGCACCCAGCTGACGGCTGTAGAAGAGGACCAGGGAGGTGAGTGCAGGGGCCAGGGGCCAGGGCAGGTGGCACCTCCATACTGGTAGTGACAGCCCGTCTCGGGTTTCAGGTGCCAAGCAGGAGATATTTGCACAAGCGTCAGATGCATCTAATTTCCTCAAGAAGCGTGACAAGAGATCCTCCAAATCCCAAGACGAGGTCAATGGTAAGGACACTGGCAGCTTGCGGACTCTGCCCACCTTCTGCTTGTACCCTCTGGGTCTACTTTCTTCCATGCTCGCTCAGGCTGGAGGGCAAGGAGAGGACTGAGGGTGGTCAGGCCCTTAGGTGGCATATTCCTGCAGCTCTGAATGAGAAATGACACTGTATTTACTTGACTCAAAGTCACATCTTTAATTCAACACATTGTTGGGGTAATGATCAGAGACACACCAAATGCTGATTTTTTTAAAAAACTTTTTTTGGAAGCAGCTCTCCAGGCCTTGCCTCCTGAGGTGTATCTGGGCAGATTTGAACTTCCAGCCTTTCAGTTAACAGCTGAGCATGTTAATGTTTGCACAGCACAGTGGCTCTACAGCAAAAACAATTAATTCAACATCAGAAATATAAAACTGTGATGGAGAATTACATGTTCCCATCTGGAGGGAACATAACTCTCTGGGTATTAACCACGTTGTTGTCGTTGTTGTGTAATAAACCGACCCAGAGCTGATTCTTCAGCGGGTTTGCGGCAGCAGTAAATAAATTTGCGTGGAAAATGATTGCCCAGCTTTCTCCCACTGAGCAGCTGGTGGATTTGAACTGTGTGACCTTGGGTTGGCAGAGCACTCGGCCACCAGGGCTCCCAGGTATTAACCATAGCGCCCCCTTTCTCATGAGAGCAGCACTGCTGCATGTAGAGGGGCTGCAATGAGGAAAGAGTGCCTGGGACCTGCAGCTGGGAAATGTGGGTTTGGGTGACTAATTCGCATCAGCCACTTTTTCCCCCCCTGCTTCCCATGGGGTTTACTTATTTCTAAGTAAACAAGAGACAGCAGTGTTCAGCCAGCAATGCTTTAAGTTTTTATTTCAAGCGCGTTTGGGCAGGACTTTTAAGTTTGGGGTTGGTGTCAGTCTGCAGCAGGGAAGTGTCCCCACCGCTAGCAGGTCACTCCCTGCCTTCACCTGCCTGGCCCGTGAAGGCTCTTGTGTTTTCCCCTGTGGAGCTGGATTCCTCCAAGGACGCTGGGCTCTGCAGGCGCTGGCTGCTGTGGCTTGGTTCACTGCTTGTGTAGCAGATGAATAAAGCCTTTGTCTCCCTCCGCACCCTAGCAAGGTCCCCTTCACATGGCAGATGCTCAGCAAAAATAAAAGGACTGTTTTCTAATGATGGCCCAAGATAGAAATGAAATTTTTTTTTAAAAAAGGAAAAAAGAGAATGATTGCAGATAACCTTTTCTTAAAAAAAAAAAAAATGTTGGATAAGTGTAACTGCAGTAGGAAAATCTCCAGGACTCACACAACTCCGGGTTTAAAAGTTGGCAAACCTTTGGATTTAAAAGCACTAACAAGCAGATGATTAGCAGGGAGCTCTGGTGGCCTAGGGTTAAAAAGCTGCGCTGTAATATCATAGGCACATGGTTCGAATCCACCAGCTGCTCGTCTAGAGACTGATGGGTAAGCTCCACTGATGCGATTTACGGCCTCTGAAAACCCGCTGGAGGGTCAGCTATGGGTCGGTTCCGCCTGGACCGGCCCACATTAAACAATAACAACAACAACCACCACCAGCTTTGGTCTAGTAGTAAAAAGTTGAGATGCCAGCCCAAAGGCACGTGGTTGCAATCCAGCAGTTTTTTTCGCAGGAGGAAGATGGGCCATCTCCTGTTCAATATACAACTTCTGAAAACTCTTTGGAGGCTCAGGTATGAGTTTGTTCTGAAGGTATATAACAACAAAACCAGCAATGGAGCTTGAGTAGTTCTTGATTGAAATCAAGGAAGTTATCTTTGGCAGGTGTGGATTGAGGTTAACAGGTTCTTATTCAATGATTCAATTTGTGGCACCTTCTAAAAGGCAACTTGAGAAGATTGTTTCCTGTATGGAAAATGCTTGCTCAGGAATCAGTAGTGGAAACCTGTTTGCTCCTTGGAGGGATTTTGAAGCGCTGTCTCACATGTTTTGGGCATTTTGCCGAGAGTGACCAGTCTGTGGAGAAGGACATCATGCTAGGAAGGGTTGGAAGGTCAGAGAGAGCAGGAGAGGAAGACCCTGGTTGAGATGGATTGACACATTGACTGTGGCAATGGGGTCGGGTGTGTTGGACGGTAAGGTTGGCTCAGGATAGGGTAAGGTTCAGAGCCACTGTTCAGAGCCAGTCACTATGAGTCGTTGACTCAACGGCACATAACAACATGAATGACTGCTCCCTGAACCCCAGGCCCCTCTCTGCTCACTGTTGGGCACTGATGCCAGGAGCAACAGGGTGTTCACAAGTGTAAGGGGAACAGTGCCAAAGTCAGGTGCATTCACCAGTGGTAGAGTCGGGGATCTGGGAGCTCCAGACCGCAGCCCCAGCTCTGCCCCAAAACACGGGTGGATTATTCAGTAAGCATTGGCAAACTTGAGTTTAGTAGTTTGATACTAAACAAAAAATGCAGTAAAAACACGTGAAACTGTTCACTACAGATTAGTGAGTAAACACAAGTCAGTCTGTGTGCTTAAGTTGCTTACTGGGTGCCCTACCTCTGTCAGGGGTTGGAAAGAGGCTTTGATTCTGTAAGAAGGTGCTGCGAACTTGAGAGCAAGCCAGACACCAGCCATGTCTTGGAGCAGAGTCTCTGATAAAGTATGAAACTGTTCACTACAGATTAGTAACAAGTGAGCCCATACCTGCCTTTCTTATTGGGTGATATCACACTGCGCTGAGGAGTTGCGCTTTCTTGATGAGGTCGCTGTACTGCTCTGATGTTGACCCAAGAAATGTGTGAGTGTAAGGGATGAGAGATGGGAATAGACAGGAATACCATTCACTTCTGCTACCCTCAACTTAGTCCTACAGTTCTGTAGGTAGAAGCAGAAGCCTGGGAAGACACTGAAATTGGTCTGAGAAATGTGCACCATGACCACTTCACAGATGGCTTAATGTTCAGTCTGACGTCTCTTATTTAAGGAGTTCCCAGGTGGTGTAAATGGTTAAGAACTCAAACTACTAACAAAAAAGTTGGTGGTTTTAACCTACCCATAAGCGGCCAGAGACAAGACTGGTGGTACGCTTCTGCAAAGTCACACCCTTGAAAGCTCTTACCTCGCTGCCTGCCATGGAGTTTATTCCAAATCACAGCCACCTATAGGACGGAGTAGAACTGTCCTCCGGGTTCCTGGGGCTGTCAATCTTAATGGGAGTGGACCACCTCTTATGGTGTTCTCTTCTCGTATGGAGTCTCCCTGGGTCGGAATTGAATTGATGGCAACTAACAGCGATTCCCGTTTGATTGATTGCCTCTGAGAACCAGCTGGAGGATCAGCTTTGAGTTGGCTCCAACTTGATGCTACATATTTTAATAATTTGCTTATTAGCATAGGCTCCCTCTTTGCAAGGAGCATTTGACAGGATTTATAGCATTATTGTTTGGCCTAGAAACGCTTTTTGCTCTTTCTTCCGACTCCTCTGTAATGTAGAGTAGGGGAGGGGCCTGCTGGCTGCCATGTTTCTCTCTACTTCCCTCATCAAACCACCACTTAGTCCAGCTAGTGGAGCTGGTGGGAGGTAACACCAGCAGCTGAGGCTCCTCGCTTTTGAGGTGAAGGGTTCTCAGAGAATAGTTCTTCCAGAATTTGCCGTACCAAACCAACCTGATCTAGCTATCTTAATCCCCCCCCCCAATGAAACACCTTTATTTAAAAGAGCTGCTTAGCAAATTGAGATCTTTAAGAGTCTCTGGGAGATCCAAACAGTTAAAACACTCAGCTGTTAATGGAAAGATGGGAAGTCTGGGTCCACTGAGATGTGACTCGGAAGAAAGGCCTGGCAATTTCTTTCCCAGCACTGGCCACTGAAAACCCCACACAGCATAGTTCTCCCCTGACACACATCGGGCTGCCATGAGCTGGAGCTGACTCCATGGCAAGTGGTTTTTATTTCTGTTAGAGTGCTTCGAACAACTTCCTCCAGGGAACTATAGGCCTCAGTCTGAATGTAATATAAGAAAGGTCAATGTAAATCTTTTTTGGGCAAAAATTATGAATCCTGGAAATGAAGTTATTTTAGGTTTAAACATCTAAAACCAAATAATCCCGGTTAAGGTATGCAGTTCGAATCCACCAGTCAGATCCAATTTGATGGTACACACACAAAAAACATGATAAAAGAAAATAAATTTATTGGGAGCTCTGGTGGCCTAGTGGCAAGGAGCTGCAACTACAATCCCAGAGGCGCACGGTTCAAATCCACCAGATGCTCTGCTGGGGAAGGAGGGACAATCTCCTCCTGTACCAGTCAGATCTGACTTGATGGTATACTCACACAAAAATAATAAAATAAAGTAAAATTAAAAAATCCTGGTTTTATAGGGCTTGTTTGAGACAGCTGCACCTGCTGGTGAGGTGTACTGTGCAGGTTCAAGAATGGCTCCCTTGGGGCACAAGAAATTATCAGTTAGCTGGACTTCAATAGCCAATAGTAGATGAATGGCCATCACATTTATCATATTTTTATGCAAATAACAGATGCCTTGTATGTTTCCTTGCCCATTGCTCCCTCCCTCCAGGGAGGTATACCAGTATGTATATAAGTATATTTTTTTTTCTTTTATGTTGGTTTACTTACAAAGTTTGTATACATTGTTTTTCACGCCAGGTCTTTCCCCTTTCTTTTACCCACCTCTCCCTCCTCCCATCAAATCGTGTGACCCTATGATTAAGCACACCTCCCTCTTGGATCCTCATACTCATTCTATAATGTTGGTTTTATATAGTATTTGTCTTTATGACACTGAGTTGGTTCCCTTATCATAATGCTCTTCAGTCCCTCCCATGTTAGGTAGTAATTTACAAAATCATTGCTCCTACATGCTACATAGTATTTCATTGTGTGAATGTACCATAATTTTTCAATATATATTTTTCTGAATCAATTTTTTAATTGAGTAAAAGTTCACACACGTTGTAATAGATCATCCACGCATGTTTTTTATAGCATTAATTGCAATAGATGAATGTAATTCATTAAGTACAATGTCTGATCAACTCTTTATTATGTATTGTCTTTCCCTTTACCCAATTTATCTATTTATTCATTTTACTCTTTTCTCCCTCCTTTTCCAGCCTGGGAACCATCCAAGAATGCTTCTGTGTGTAACCCTCCCTTAGCTTTTCATTATAGTGAGCTTATACCATGATAGTCCTTCTGTCATTGATTAATGTCACTCAGCATATGTTCCTTTACATTCATCCATTGTGTGTATGTCTCTTCTCTTTTTCTTTTTTTTTTTTAGCCATTTGTCTATTGATTAACATGGGTATTCTGCATCTCTTTGCTATTACACTGTTATACTCTGTCCTATTACAATAATGCTGCAATGAACATGGGTATACCTGCTTGTCTCACAGCTCCTATTTCTTTGTGATATATACCCCAGGTTGGAAGAAGGAGAGGCATCCACTTCTTAAACAACGTGTCTCTGGAAACTCTATGAACTTTGATAAATGATGATAGTTATAGAAAGGTTTCAGGCCTTTGGTTCATAGGGTCACTATGAGTCATGCTCGACTGAATGGCACTCAACAACAATATATACCCCAGGGAAATAGTTGTCTAAAATTACCTCTGCATCTATTATTACTTTTGTTTTTAACCTATTACTGCAAAAAATTAACACAGCATAAAAACAATAGTACTTCTTCTCAGGAACAATTTTCTATTATCACCAGGGTTATATCTTTCATCCACAGAATTGTACCTACTGATTCATAATGAGTAAAATGATGGACCTAGGATTCCTCATGACAATGTTTATAGCCAGGTTACCTGACAGAGTTGATTCTAAAAATGAGGGGTCCTTATGTTAGATATTCTTCACCATCAAGATGTTGTTCTGATTCGCTCGTGACCTCTGCTCACTGTCTACTGCTGGGCAATGAATCCTCAAACTTAGCAGCTTAAAATGTATTGTCTCCTAGTCTCTGGTGAGAAGGCTGGGGGTTCAGTCCTCCACAGGACTATAGTTAAGGTATGTCCAGGTCCTGCAAACACTTCAAGCCTCTGCAGGAAGAGATTTGCTTTCCTGCTCACTTTAGGGCTTTGGGCAGACCTCAGTTGCTCATTGACACTGGCAGAGGATAGAAATTCCTTGTTCTGTGGTGTCTCCACAGATAGCTGAGAACATGGCACCTGAGGTCCCTGAGAGCAAGCGTATGAGAAAAAAAGGATACTAGCCCAAGATGAAGTCACAAGCTATTTTTGTACTTGAATCTCAGGTGTGACAATCCAATTTCTGTTGTGTCTTGGTCATAGGTCCGACTCACACTCAAGGAGGTAAACCACTTGAAGCTTGAATGTATGTGAAATCTGGGACAGTAGGGGCTCATGTTAGAGCCATTCATCATTGTACTCTGTGTGGATTTCTACCAGAGCACCCTCAGAACTTGGCTCAACTTATTTCTGTATCTTTCTCCTTTAATAAAATTTGAAGTCTTAAATTTAAAGACAGCTTCCTCTTTGTTTGCCTTTTTATTCTGAGTGTGTTCACAGTTGCAGGTGCTCAAAAATATTGAACAGACCTTAAGGTATTAATTAAGTAATATAAAATTAACTTTAAATTGAACTATTCTCTCATGAAATTAATTTCTAGCCATGAGATGTCTCATTTGCAGGGGACCTCGTGTACTTGGCTACACCATTTAAAAAAATTTTTTAGTCATTATTTTCTTTTTTTTATATTTTAACAAAACTTCACAGAAAATTTGAATTTCCAATCACTCATTTTTGCAAATTTTTCTCCCTACCCACCCCAGTTTGCTTTTCTCTTTAAAAGAATTCTTTCATTTTTGCACAATTTCCTCCACCCCCGAGTCCATTTTGCTATGCACCTCTTATTCTGGCCTGTTGTCATGTAAATAATACCCAATCATATATTCCTTTTAAACGGTTCTTTCCCTCATCTGTCTCAATGCAGTGTTCATTATTTATCCCCCTTTTTCTTAGTTTTCCCCCAACCTCCATGTCAGTCCTGTTTTATAACAGTGGCATTATGCAATATTTGTCCTTGTGTGGCTGAGATATTTCACTCAGCATAATATCCTCAGGGTCACCCATTTTGTTTAACATTTTGTGAGTTCCTTGTTTTTCAGTGGTGCATAATATCCCGTTGCTTCTTTACTTGTTGATGGGTCTTGGATTGTTTCCATCTCTTAGCTATTGTGAACAATGCAGCAACAAACATGTGCTGGCCACACTATTAACTTTATGCTAGTGGAACAGCCTCTAAATCTCTTCACTTTTTGAGGCTTCACAATGAAGTGGTTGGATGAGATGACCTCTAAAATCCTCCAAGGTTTTATTGTTAGTTTTTGCAACCAACACTATCACTTATTTCTGAAACATTATTATCACTCCAAACCAAGGGTGGTGTAATTCAGGAGTAAGTCTTTACAGGGGAGTCCCTACACTGAGTCCCTCATAATCACCTCTGACCAGATTCAGCTTCTCAGGTGAATGGCTACTGTCCATGAAAAGGGTACGTTTCTTGGGAGCAACTTCTCCCTCTTTCCCTTTCACAGCTGAGAACAGGCAGAAGCTGTGGGCTGATGAGCTGCGCAGAGAGTACTACGAGGAGCAAAGGAATGAGTTTGAGAACTTTGTGGAAGAACAAAATGATGGTAAGAGCCCAGCCAGCAACTTCAGGGGAGTGGAAGTGGGGCTCAAAGGGGGGGTGGTGCACAGAAATCACATATTTTACTTCTACTTCTCTCCTAAACTTTCGTTGAAGAAAGGAGAACATAAGGAAAGATTTTATTTAAATGCATGTCCAAGGGTTCCATGATAAGAAATAGTAGACATCGCAAATGGCCAGGTAGAATTTGAGACGGTATGAGGGGGAGACTCACTCTTCACTAGCTTGGAGCTGTGGAGATGGGGGGTTGTTTGCAGATGCAATGAACAGAAAACTCACCTTGTTCTCCCTACTTGGAGAGTGTTTACTGCCATAGTATCTAAACTAGTGGTTTAGCTCTAGTAGCATTGGGTTGGGAGGACTTTAAATTCACTTTAAAATGTGTCTTGGATCTTGTTCTCTGGGTCACTCTGGAGCACATGGGTGTCCTCCAAGAGATGTGACGAGGGTCAGTGTGGGGGTACCATACCTGGGGTCTTCCTGGCTCTTGTGACTAAACCTGACCTTTGTGGGGGTGTCCACGGAGCCATCCTGGGGGAGGTACTGAGCTGGTGTAGTCTGTGAGGACAAGAAAACAAGCCTCGACCCCTCTCACTGTCAGCTTTTCCAAGTCTCTGAATGGCCCCCTTTCCCCCCAGGCCAAAGCATGTTGCTGACTCCCTGTCCCTGGGTTTTAACCCCCTGGCATCTGTCCATGAGCATGGTGGGTAGGGGACTCTGGGGCCAGAAGCCAGTGGGGCACAGGGAGATGAGGTTGGTTTCCCTTCCTGAGATGTTATAAATATAATATGCTGTCAGCGTATTTTCTCTATTTTCTTGCTAGAGAAGCTCTTTGTACATAAAAAACATACTTGAAAACTTAACTGTATGATGTATGAGAAGACAGAGCCCCTTATTTTGTCCACATATGACTGCCTTGAGTTCCACCAGAAAGCCACTCTAGTTTGGTCTCCATGACATTTTAAATGCGGGACAGAAATGAGCAAATACAGTGAGAGAGAAATGTCAACCTGAGATTGTATGAAATCTAAAAAAAAAGTGCCATGAATCTGCATTCATGTAATGTAGGATCAACTTCATCCTGGAAAACCAAGAACTTTATTTACATATTCACCATAACCAGCATTTTGACTGCAAAGTCGACTGTCTCCAGTCCTAACACTCCCAGCTGCCACCCCTTGGGAGCCTCCCACTCCAGCTGCAGATCTTGCTCACCCACAGTGTCAGGAACCTGAAGGTTTCTTCCTGGCATTCTGTGTCCTCGCTAAGCCCTGCCTGCCCTGCCCTTGTGCTTCCTGTCAACAGACAAATGGGAGAAAAAGCCAAGGAGGCCACATTCTGTCAGCAGGCAGCTGGAACAGCTCATGTCCACACTCAAGCCCTTGCAGTCAGTGCTCCTGGCCCACATCAGGATGTGTGGACTGGAATGAAGATTTGCCAGCAATGCTTGTGTCTTTGCAGATCAAAGATGCCCAAATGCATAGGGAGCTTCAAGAACTTCCCTGATGTATGAAGATGGATGGAGTGAGTCGGATAAAGCAGAGTTGTCTGACAGGGCGGGGTGGGGGGCTTTCTAAGATTGATTTAAAGAGGGGAAGAGACAAAGGATGTGGGGCAGGGTCAACATCCTGAGGATAGCTTTTGAAAAGGATGAAACAGTGGCCAGTGTTGCTTGAATTCTCCACCCTGGGGCAAAGATCCATAGTACCCACCTAGAAGCCCTTCTCTCTCAGCTCCCCAGCACTTCCATTCAAGACTTGGTCTTCAGTGTTTTATTGGATTTGACAAAGTCACCTCTTCAACTCATAACTCAGCAGTCTGACTGGACTTGTCTGTTCAGCACTTCCTTCATAAAAGGGAATGCCTGGAGATTGCCATGAGTGAATGCAAAGGTTTCTGATGGAGGAACATTAGGTAGGTGGTCTGAGGAGTGACTTCTGGGCAAAGCTGACCTTCTGCAGGGTCTGAGAATCCATCTTAGAGGTCTCATACCTGACACTGGCTTTGGTCTGGTAAAAAGGGCTGGAAAGGAATGAGAGCTTCATCGTGGTTTTGCCTCAGCTTCCTGTTCAATCTGTGCTCAGAGCCAGCAGCCTCACAAGGCAAGGAGTGCTTAGATTCCTGATTCTGGACACCTCTGACAAGCAATTTGCTGAGTTACCATGTCTGAGTAAATGTGGCAATGTTTGCCTGTTCCCAGAAACCTAAGTCAGGTAATCTGAGGTTGTTGCGTGCCATCTGGCAAAGGCTGACAGACCACCCCCCATCTCCTACATGAAGCCCACAGTCTAGGTCTTGGGAAAAGCCAAGAAGGCTTTCTCTCTCTTAAGTGAAAAGGCAAAAGAAGAATTTTACATGCCCTTGGAGGAAAGCCACCTTTTATGTCAAAGGCATGCTCCTAGTTTGAACAAGAGTAACTGCATTGCCTGGCCTAGGATAGATCTGAAGGGGCTGGCTGCCATCATCCAACACTCCAACTCCACCTGACTTTACAAGCGCTAGGCTCTCTCTAGGGTGGCAAGTACCTAAGGGGATTTTCACCAAAGGGAGGGTTGGCTTCTTAGTTCGCATTAGGAAAGAAACCTTCCCACCAGCCTTGGTACCTGAATACCCAGTGTTAAGAGAAGCCCTTCCTGTTGCAGTGAATCTTGGCCTTTGGCTTCCCAGGTGCTAAAGGTCATAGAGTCATCTCTGTTTACCACACCCAGAAGCTGTTAGGTCTTCCTGTTTGTCCAATGCCACAGAAAATGCCAGTTTCTCCAGTACCAGCCCCAGGCTCACAGCCTTCTCGGTGGTGTCCACAGGTGGGGGAAAAAAAGCCAAAATGAGATTTTTGAAAAAGGAAGAAGACATAGAGCTTTGGTGGCCTAGTGGCAAGAAGCTGCACTGCAATCCCAGAGGTGTGCGGTTTGGATCCACCAGATGCTCTGCTGGAGAGGGACGGGCAATCTCCTGTACCAATCAGATCTGATTTGACGGTACATGCACAAAAATTAATAAAATTTTTTAAAAAATTAAAATTTAAAAAAAAGAAAAAGGAAGAAGACATTATCTTTTTACATTAGCAGTTCCCATCCTCCAGATATTTTCACAAATGCTTTCCAACACCTAAGGCCTACCTCTATCTGTCTGCTGGCATTTTCTGGTATCTGATCATAAATGAATATTCTTTGGTTGACATCAGAAGCATGTGTAATATACACACACACAAAGACATTATTCATAAATACATGTTCTCAAAGATGGTAAAATAAAGACATTTGGACTCATTAATACTTCCTTCTGTTCTTTACTATGAAAGATTTCCATTATCTGGAGAAGTATATGATAGACTAAAATCCCTCATCATCACAGAAAGTCAACAACTATCAAGATTTTACCACACTGGTTTCATTTACCTTTTCCCCCCTCCATTTAGTTTTAAAAACATACTTGTGTTTTTACAATTTTCCATCCTAACATGTCACCTTCACCTTTACCCTTCAGAACAGGAAGAGAGAAGCCGGGAGGCCATTGAACAGTGGCGCCAGTGGCACTATGATGGCCTGTACCCACCTTACCTCTACAACCGTCACCACATCTGATCTCATCCTGAAGCACACCTAGAAGACAGGCCTTGAAACCCACATAAACACCCAAGTGTCAATCAACTACTTCTTCACACAAAGACACCTTTTAAAAAGTTCTCAAGTTGGCACCTGCTGTGGAAAACAGCCCTGATTAATACCTGGTCTCTTGTTCTGAAGGATGAAAAAATGCCTTGATTTTTTTGTTTCTTTGATGATGACTCTCTGAGGTGAGCAAATGCCCATCCTAGCACCAAATCTACAGTGGATTCCTCCTGCTTAGGCATTGTTTCCTAAGTCAGTCTCTTGTCTGATAGAACAGTCAAAAGGATTATAGTAAAGAGAAAAAATTTCCTGTTTGCTTATTATTGCTCACAAATAAAATTGCTGAGACATCAGTGTGTCCATCTTCTCAATTCTCAATGTGAGGTCATGCCAGCTTGTCTCCTGAGTGACAGTGCTGTTCTTTGTGGCCTGCAGTCAGTGTTTGCTCTATTCAATATGTCTTGGTAGTCAGTCACACAAGTGAAAGAAAAGTGCTTTTCTTTTGATACCTAAAACCCAATACTTCTCTGAATAGTTTTACTGAACTTGGGTACTGCCTCATATCTCTGTCAAGAGTCTAAGTTTCATCTCTCATTTCTTACTCTCATCCTTCAGAAGCCACGAGCACACTAGTTATCAAAGCGATGAAGAAGGTACAGGTCAGTTCTGATAGCACATTACTTGTCTTCATAGTGACTCTTTTCTCCTTCCATCTTTGCCTTCCTGTTTGTTCTACCTCCATTCTTATTTTCGCTGACCTCAAGAAACTCCACATTTGGAAGGCAGAAAACTCAAGGAAAATGTAAGTAGGAACCTCTTCAGGGGACACAGTACTGCAAAAGATCAGAGAGGATTCTTGGTGAAGAATAAGCATCCACTCTCAGCCACTTTATTGTTCCCCAGGTGTAGGCACTTCACTTCCTAGGACTTGGTTCCCTGGCCCACTAACCTAGCCTGCTTGAAGCTAGGCTTCCTGAGGACAGTCTTGAATGGCATTGCATGGAGTTGCTTTAAGGAAAAGCTACCTCATGGAAATATACCAAGTGCCCATCAACAAATGGATAGACAAACTATGACACATTCACACAGTGGAGTAATATGCAACATTGAAAAGCAATTAAAAAAAATTTGTGAACATACCTCTGGAAACTCTATGAACTTTGATGAATATCAACAGTTGGTTGTAGAGGGGCTTCAGGCCTTTTGTTCATAGAGTCACTATGAGTCATGCTCGACTCAAAGGCAATCAACAACAACAACAACAACAACAACAACATACAACATGCATGAGAGTAGAGGTCATTATGCTGAGTGAAATAAGTCAGTTGACATTGTTAAGTGCTGTCAAGTTGTGACTCAGAGTGACCCAATATACAACAGCTCTGAACCCTGCTCTATCCTGTGCCAACCTCATCGTCTCTGACACATCCACCCCTTTTACCCCGTCACTGAGTCAATCCACCTCATTGTTTCTCTTGCGCTGGCCCTCCATCCTCCCAACCATGGTGTTCCTTTCCAAAGACTAGTCTCTCCTTGCAACATGCCTAAAGTATAAGTCAGTTAGATATCAAGGGTATCATCCAAGAAGAGTGCAAACGTTCATTACAAAGACAGAAGAGGAAGAAAAGACCAAAATGGATGCCAGAAGAAACTCTGAATGTTGCACTGGAGTGCAGAGAAACCAAAGCACAAGGAAGAACTCAAGATACTAAAGAGCTGATCAGAAGATTTCAAAAGGCAGCGCGGGATGACAAAGTAAAATATTACAATGAAATGTACAAAGAGTTGGAGTCAGAAAACTAAAAGGGTCGAACTTGCTCAGCATTTCTTAAGCTCAAGGAACTGAAGAACAAATTCAAACCTCGAGTTGCTATAATCAAGGATGCTTTAGGCAGAGTATTAAATGATCCAGGAGGCATAAAAAGAAGATGGAAAGAATATACTAAGTCATTGTATCGAAAGGAATCAGCAGACTCAGAAGAATTTAATGAAACAACATATGAGCAAGAGCCTATGGTGATGAAGGAAGAAGTTCAAGCTGCTTTGAAAGAAATAGCAAAAATAAGGCCCCAGGAAATAGATGGTATACAAATTGACATATTTCAGCTAACAGATGCTGCCCTGAACGTGTTCACCAAGTTGTGTCAAGAAATCTGGAGAACAACCACTTGGCCAATTGACTGGAAGAGATCTATATTTGTTCCCATTCCAAAGAAAGGTGACCCAACAGAGTGTGGAAACTATAGAACAATATCGTTGATTTCACATGCAAGCAAGATTCTGCTGAAGATTATCCAAAAACGACTGGAACAGCATATCAGCAAAGAACTGCCAAAAGTCCAGGCTGGGTTTACAAGGGGTCGTAGTACTAGGGATATTGTAGCTAATGTTAGATGGATCTTGACTGAAAGCAGGGAATACCAGAGGAATGTCTCTTCATTGATTATGCAAAGGCGTTTGTGTGGACCATTACAAACTGTGGCTGACTCTGAGAAGAAAGGCAGTTAGAAGAGGATAAATACTGCATAAAGCCATTGTTATAAAAGGCTCTAGAAAGGTTTATATACAGAAAGAATGAATCTGGTATGGCTACCAGGGAAGGGAAAGACAGAGTATAAAATTAATTCATAGACAGTGAACATGTATTGGGATGCAGGAGAATGTGGAGTGAATGGATGATCAGACATTGAGAAGGTTGTAATTGGTGCTGGAGAATAGAATGCACAAGAATGATTGACTGGGGGGAACTCTAACATATTATGTAAATGCTTACTCAAATAACATTTAAAAAATTAAAAAAAGAAAAGCTGCTACAATTGTAGGAAAATATTCACAAGAAGAAGGAGGGACTTAATTGGAACATTCTTCAATGAGTGTGTACGTGATTTTTCACTTGGTTTGGTTGGGTTAGTTTGTTTTTGGTGGGTTTTTTTTTTTTTTTGGTGAAAATATATACAACAACCATACATCCATTCCACAATTTCTACATACACCAACTTTTTAATGTGGGCTGGGAGCCTCTTGTTTAGAGTCAATCAGGACCTGGTCAGCATGCCTTTGTATTTAAAAGTAGTTTGGGGCCTGACTAAGTCTCCAGTTTGGAGGTTCAGGTGTGAAGTGGTTGGATTCTGGAAGGTGGGGGTCTCTTGTTTTGGTTGGGGGTTGGGGGGGTTTGTTGTTGTTGTTGTTTGGGTTTTGGTTTTTTTCCCTCATTCACTATCATATGTAATCTGATTTGATTTGCTGGATTTGGCTAACAATGAGCTGGAAGCCTCTTGTTTAGAGTCAATCAAGACCTGGTGGGCAGGCCTTTGTATTTAAAAGTTAGTGTTGTTTGGGACATACATTCTTCTTTTTTTTTTTAATGTTGTAAGGAGACACAGGTCCTTGGAGAGGGACATCTTGCTTGGTAGATCCTTGGTAGGGTGGAGGGACAGTGCAGGAGGGGAAGACCCTCTATGAGGTGGATTGATTCAGTGACTGGGGTAATCAGGATGGGTGTGTCAGAAGCAATGCGATTGGCACAGGATAGAGTAGGATTTAGGGCTATTGTACATAGGGTCGCTATGAGTCGCAAACAAACGACTCGACAGCACATAACAACAACAACAACAATTTTAATGAACATTTACAGAGATTTTGGATTTCCATTCATTCATTGTTGCATTTTTCTCCCTGCCTATGCCTCCCCCCTTAGTTCACTCTTCTCTTTGAAAAGTAAAAGAAAAATTCTTTCATTGGTATACAATGCCTCCCCCACCTGCCCCAGTACACTCCACTGTGCATCCTTCATTCTGGTCTCTTGTCATAACCATAATACCCAATCACATATCACTTTAAAACAGTTCTCTCCCTCATTTGTTTCACTGCAGTATACATAATTTATCCAACCTTTCTCAGTCTCACACTAACCCTGATGTCAGTCCCATTCTACAATAGTGGCACAATGCAGTATTTGTCCTTTTGTGACTAAGATCTTTCACTCAGCATAATATCCTCCAAGGTCACCCATTTTGAATAATATTGCATAAGTTCCTTGTTTTTCAATGCAGCATAGTATTCCATTGTGTGAATATACCAGAGCTTCTCTATCCATTCTATTGTTGATGGGTACTTAGGTTGTTTCCAACTCTTTGCTATTGTGAACAAAGCTGCAATAAACATGGGTGTGCATATATCCGCCTGATGGCAGTTATGGTTTCTTTAGGATATATTTCCAGTAGTGGAATTGTTGGGTCAAATGGTATTTCTATTTCCAACTTTTTGAGAGAGCGCCATACAGCCTTCCATAGTGGTTGCACCATTTTACACTCCCACCAACAGTGTATAAGGATTCCAGTTTGTCCACAACCTCACCAGCATTTGTTACTTACTGTTCTGTTAAATATTGCTATTTTTACTGGGGTGAGATGATATCTCATAGTTGTTTTAATTGGCATCTCTTTTAGAACTAGGGATTTTGAACATTTCTTCATGTATTTGTTGGCCATATGAATGTCTTCTTTGGTGAAGTGTCTGTTCATATCCTGTGCCCATTTTTCAATTGGGTTATTGACCTTTATCTTGCTTTGGTACTCAAGTATTTTATAAATTCTAGATATAAGTCTCTTATCTGACCTGACATGTCATTACCAAATATTTTTTCCCAGTCTGTGGCTTCCCTTTTTACTCTGTTGGACAAGTTTTTAGATGTGCATAGGGATTTGATTCTTAGAAGGTCCCATTCATCCATTTTATCCTCCATGGTACAGCCCTCTTCTGTCAATTTTCTGAATTGAGATAACCTGGGGTTGCTGTGATGCTGAACACTGTATCACTGGTGTGTCAAATGCCATGATGGTGTTACATATGGCAGTGTTTGGTGTAGCTCCTCCATTAAGTCCAGCTTGGAAGTAGGAATGGCATCCACTTCCTAAAAAAACATGCTTCTGGAAACTCTATGAACTTAGAGAAATGACAATAGTTATAGAACA